CTGTTTCCTGCTACTGCCACAGTCCTCAGTCATCACAGGGGAGACCGGAACCGGACTCTGGCAACGGAGGTTCACGTGAGCGCCCAAAGGCCAGAGCGAAGCAGCCACGGGCCACGCCAAACCAAACCCTCTCCTTCCCTCCCTCCCTTCCCGCTCGCTTCTTGCAACTCCCCCTGTAAATCTGCACAGCCAGCGCGGCATTTAATGCTCTCCAACCTTTGGTCTCCCTCCCAAACGCTCCCCCATTCCTTCCATCCCATTCCCCTCTCGCCCACCAGGCCCCAGCCCACAGATGCGGCAAGATCGAATCCATGGCGAGAGCTAGCAGAAGCCGCGGGCTTGGTGCTTGAGCCCTCGATCCTTGGGGGGTCCCGGGTCCTTCTCCTTGCATTGATCGCGTCCCTCGACGCGAGGAGACGAGCAGAGAGGGTAAAGGAGGGAGTTCTTTCTCGTGTTTCGTTCTGTCGATTCTGCGGTTCTTGGGAGTAGCAATGAGGCGGCATGGGTGGCAGCTCCCGTACCACCCTCTCCAGGTTCGTCCCGGCTGAAATTTTGCGCCTTTTCTTGCTGGGCGTGGTCTTTTGTCGCTCGTGATTACTGAAGATTCGATGTCTCTCGCGCGCATCGCAGGTGGTGGCCGTGTCCGTCTTCTTGGCGCTGGCGTTCGCGTTCTACGTGTTCTTCGCGCCTGTCGTTGGGAGGAAGGTGTTCCAGTACGTGGTCATGGGGCTCTACACTCCGCTGGTGAGACTCGAGAGCTCCTGCTTGGCTCCTTCGATGCCATTCTGAGTTGAGTGAGCGACTGAGCGCCTTATGTTTTGCTTGTCTGGGACCTTTTGGATCCCCATCTAGCTGCTGGGTGATGGGCCCAGCAGTGGTTGCTGAGCTAGGGAAGGCGCCGAATTAAGTGTGGCCTGATAATCATGAAATGTGTTGCTTGGCAGTCGCGTATTTGTTTGGTAGGATTTCTGTACGTTTTGTTTGCTTGTTTAAGGGTGGTACATCTTAAATCGTTTGGCTGGCCTGGGCAATTTTGTTGTGCCATCAGGGCAGTCCCATGAATGTATTGACGATGGCTTTATCCTCATTAAATAACTCTTACGTATGGGTAAAATGCTGACATGGCAACGTAGTTAATGCAAGAAAGAGAAGCAAAAATCATAGAAACTACTCTCACGAAGAAACCACGTGTCTCTTGACCCAATGCACCAAGAAACCAATGAAATCGCTTATTGGGGAGAAAAACCACCAGCTTCTGCAGGGGCTCGTACCGCACTCTCATTGGAGGAAGAAGATAGAGTTGGGAGAGAAAGAGAAAAATAATTATTACTCATAGAAACCAGCGGGTTGGAAAGCAGATATTTTTTTATGCGATCCCATGTTATAAACTACTAGCTTTCTTTCATTGGGACTGCCCTCATGTGGCGTGTTTAACCCTGGAAGCAATGTCTGTTTCGTTCAGTTCAACAGCTTTGCTTCAGCCTCAATGGTTGGTTGAATTCTGGCTTGTGTCATAAGGTTAAGGACAACAGTGCATGCTTATCTGTTGTTTATCTAACACCATTGGGGAAATGTAGTTTCAGAACAAGTGGGAGCTACATGTTCGTCAGGCTCTGTGTGCCTCTTCATTTCTGTCCACATCAGCACTACTGTCTTTGGGTTGTATGCCAGAACACGTGTTTGGTTGGATTTTGTGGCTCCGTTTGCTGGAGAGTGACATGTCATAGTAGTACTTATTATACTAACATCGTCAGTTTCGGAATGGCCGTAACCTTCTGATACCATGTCATTACTCTGGGTGCTACCTTGTTGTGACGATGCCAACTACTGAAATACTGTTCCGTGAAATGGGTCGTATCATCCCTGCAAATTGCTGTCCTGGATTATTCTTTTTGCTTCACGGTTGTCATGAAACCTAACTTGTTTTGAAGCTTTCTTTGCTTTTTTTTTTTTTTGATGTTGCGCTTATGCTGTAACAGTGTAGTGAGTAGGCAATGCTGTGAAATGTAATGGTGCCTGTTCTTCTGATGGACATGTAGTGGCATGTTCTTCACTGCTTCTGACAGACCATGTGTAGTTACTGTTGGCTTGGAATTATGTTTTGCCTTCTCATGTGTGAATTCGTGAGCCACAAATATGGAAGAACATGAAAATTTGCAGAAACAATGATTTCAAACTTTCTGGATAAAATGTTATGTGCTCTAAAATGCCACATTCTGCTTTGCTAAACTGAAAAAAAAAATGTTGTGATTGTTGAATACAACATGCCTTACACACAGTGTCATCATGAAGCTACTGTTTTGGGCAAACTATATTCCAAGTTCATGACTGCACCTTTTTGTCTCTCCCGAAGAATCAAAGCCTGTCATAAGGGAATTTATTGTGACCAAATGGTGATCTGATCATTTCAGGTTTTATGTGCATTCTTTCTATACATCTGGTGTGCTGCAGCAAACCCAGCAGATCCAGGAGTCTTCAAATCAAAGAAGTATCTGAGCTTGTACGGAAGCGGCAAACACAGGCATCTGATGGAATCCAGAAAGGTTCTTCAGATGCTCGGTTACAGCTAGAGGAACTGGAGAAAAGCAAGAGCATGAGGTCGCAGCATCTAGCGAGAAGTCAATGACTCAACACAAGGACAAGAATTCATCTTACTCGAGTTCAACCTTCTCTGCATTTCTCCTTCTATTCTACCCTCTCTCTTTTGTTTTCTCATGCTGCCAATCACATGAATGGTCCTCTGAGCAGCAGCACGGCACTGAGGAAGGGATGTTTTTCTGCAGCCTATGTGAAGTTCAGGTATGTTTCTTGTAGTTATTGGCATTGAGGTATGTTTTTTCTGCTCACAATTAATAGTCCGCTATTTTTTTGTAGGTGTTGAAGTATAGTAAGCATTGCAGAGTTTGTGACAAATGTGTTGATGGTTTTGATCATCACTGCAGGGTAACATACTCCTTAGCAATTGTCTTATTTCCATCAGTGAGTATAATAACTCCCTGTTTTCCTCAATCTCAACAGTGGCTCAACAATTGTATTGGAAGACGAAACTATAGGAGGTTTTTATTCTAATGTCAACTGCCCTTATCTTGGTAAGCTTTTACGCTCTCCTAGTCCTATCCATCTCTGATAGATTGTACTAATAATCGCCTCTCTAGCCCTATCCATCTCTGATAGATTGTACTGATAAAGATGCTACAAAATACTTCTACCATTGTGTCATTATGTAGAGCATGTTCCCAATATCGGCTAGATTCTAGAATCAGTAATCTATATGCATTGGTCACCATTATTGTGGGGAGCATTTTATTCCTGGTCCTTTTCATCCTAGTTGACCATTGACAGGTCTGCATGGTTTGTGCAATTTGGGCCAGCTTATCCTACAATCAGCAATTGGAGTATTGGTGCTAGTGCTATGCTTTGTTGAGCGAAAGGAATTCTCTATGCAAATTGTTTCAAAACTTGGAAGCAGCTTCTCTGTAGTGCCTTTTGTTATTGTGGTGGTATGTACTGTCATCCTACTTCTTTCATATCTACTGAATGGTTCAAAGATTATTGAATTGGTCAGCTCTTTTCACCAATCTTTATCGAATGCTCAAAGCGCTGACACTTGTTGACACAGGCATCATGTACCATCCTAGCCATGGTTGCTTCACTGCCTATTGCCCAACTTCTTTTTTTCCACATTCTTCTGATCAAGAAGGCAAGTTCTGATACATTTCCCTTTTGTCTGATTCTATTGCTTACTGACTCTTGTAAAAAAAAAGCTCCATGCCTATGAATTCAAATTATTCTAGCTTCTACCAATAATATCCTTGTGAATCATATGGGCATACATAAACTTTGCTAAGTTTCAATAATATATTACTATGGAAGGATTAGGCTGCCGGTCAAAGTTATGCACTTATGCCTTATTGGCAATAAACTTGTATTAAAATTCCTAGCGACCTTACAATTTTTCTTTGGATAATGCAAACTTGGGTTCTATGCGCTGTGTCTATGCTTTTTGTACAATGTGAATACTGAATACTGACATCATTATGTATTGAACCAAATATTGATATCACTAGCAGGATTAGTATCGGCATGGAGTTTCTTATAGTACCACTTTGAAACTTTTGATTTTTGAAAATAGTGATTAAAACAATAAACTGTTGCCACGGAGTATGCAGACACCATGAATAGTTTGAGTATGATATCATAGCCTTTTGTGGTTATGTGAAACTGAAGCATCATGATGACAACCTTATGCAGGAATCAGTACCTATGACTACATCATTGCCCTGAGAGAGCAAGAACAAGATGATTTGAGTGGGCAGCAGAGTCCACAGATGTCTCATGTAAGCTCATACACTGGACTCAGCAGTACTAGTTCCTTTGGTCCACTTCGTCGCGTGGTTCATGGTGCACTCCGCCAAGGCTGTTTCTTGAGGATCAGGTGAACCTTACATCCTTAGGCTTCATCAATTATTAAACAGATAATGTAACTCCCAGGCTGAAGCTATACCTATATCTATATGGCACATGGGTAGTATAGCAGGTGAATGGAAGTTGTTGGTCACTTTTCTAACAGTCATACTGACTCTAAGTTTCTAGTTGATAGCTACAATTAATGTCTTGCGCATCTAACTGATAGCAATTGCACATGTAGGCCTCATCATGAGCTGTACGTATGATTAAATAAAAAAAATGTGTGACCATTTTCCATTTCACATCTGCCCATTAACTCACTATTGACATGAAGTTACTGAACCTCCTAGTTTGATGTTATTCCATCGGAGGCTGCTTCTTCGCATAATTCTTCTATGAAGAGAAAAGAAGATGAGGAAAGAGGAAGAAGGGCTCAGGGGCTGTGAAAAATAAGCCCATGGGCATTAGCTCGTCTTAATGCTGAAGAAGTTTCAAGGGTTGCTGCAGAGGCACGGAAGAAGTCCAAAGTTTTAGTACCAATCAGAAAAGATGACTATTCACGAGGCCATGAAACAGATAGTAGCTACGGAGGCATGAGCAGTGGTAGGATTGATCTAGGCCCCGATAGCAAGAGGAGAACAAACAGAAGAGGAAGACAGCCCAGTGATCTCTCTCTCAAACCTGTTGCAAAGATATCTACATATGCTATTGATTCTACCAGCAGTGACATGGCCCCTGAAGCAATGTCCAATTTAGCACCATTGCAACTTGAGGCACGGAGCGCCTTCCATCCCAGTAGGTCTGCATCTTCTGTTAATGTTGGTGGGTCATCTCCAGATAGCAGCTTGGATTCGCCTGACCTGCATCTGTACCGAGTCTCGGCTGTCTCCTCGTCTGGAGCTGAAGACTTGCAACTGACAGCTCTAACTGCTCCAGGAAGCACCCACAGCAAGGGATTCAACTGTCGCGATCGACCAGCGATGGGTATGAAGCATCAGGGGGTGAAGACAGTGACCGCATTCCGTCACGGATAGTGCACCGCTCGTCGAACTGGGCAAGCATCATCCTCAACTCCGACTAGAGTGCGTCCTCATCTGGCATTCTTGTGCCAAAGAACAGATTGTCCTGACTTCAGATGAATGAAGATTGTAAATGATCAGCCAAGAACCGGAGATTCCAGTATCAGACCTTCTTTGTTGTCAATGTCAAATCTTGACGCAGGGATGGTTGGATACTGCGCAAATCATTAATTTTTTTTGTTAGTCTCTGAATCGCTAGGTAGGCAGTGTCTGAATTTCTATGGCTTATAAAGCTCCTACCGATGCTGTTTTGTTGTGAGAAAACATTGTATCGCTTCGCTGATACGATCAAGCGAACAGGGTTATATCGGCATGTGCAACTCCTGTCATCTGGAACACACTGTTAATAAGTCTCTAATGGCCGTACTAGGTATACTTTTATTAAGCCATACCTACACAACCAAGTCAAACATGTACCAAACATTGAATCCGAGAATAAATTACATAGACGTCACGTGATAAAGGTCAGTCGCTTCTGTTTTGGTTTTGGTGCCAAACATGTCGCATAAAACCTGCAGGAGTAACACTTTTATCAGTTTGACGATCGGTTAGATTCGCTGCCCAATAGAAAGAAACCGGAAATACCATGAACACTATTTATATGACATTTTTTGGCCTGAGTTATTTTGCGATAGAACGAACAATGCCACTTTTTTATTTTCTTACCTTGCTCCTGACAACTTGTTTTTTAAAGAGTGGAAGCGTTTGCTATATTAAATTCAACCAAATTGAAGCAAAATGTCAGGGGTTATCATGTCCAAAAAAAAAAAGGGTGTCAGGCGTTAATGTCGGCGGCACGCACCAACTGACGGTGAGGGACACAAACTGGACAGTCAATTGTCTGTGAACACTGACAGTAAAATACGCGAATTGTTCATTGAACATTACATAGGTTCGATCTTGGGCATAAGGCACAGCCAATAATCAATGGAAGTCAATGGACTGTTGATCTGAGGACGAGAAAATAATTCATCTGTCTATAAAATGCATGGATTATCAGCCCACGGCCTGCTCTAAGGCGACCTGGAAAATACTGTTCCGGGCTGATTCTTCATTATGAACAGTGATTTGAATGAGTGATTTCGTGAAGCGAGGAACCAGCCAGCCGAACGGCCTCCCAAGTTCTGTGCCGACAAAGCATAATGCTAAAAGATAATAAAGAAATAAAAAGATGCTTCAGATGCAAAATTCTAAGCTTCAGAGTTGATGTGTCTTCAGCAGCACAAATTACACAGAAAGAACACTCTCAACAAGGTTGCTTAGCTCCAGGTGACTTTGTCGATGCTAATTGCTAAAGACAATCAGCATCTTCTGCAAAGACAAGAATACACCACACAGATTTGTCGGTTGTAAGAACCTTTTTCAGATAGTAGGAAGACAGATCATCAGAAATCTGAAAATCTAGGGCAACCAGACTTCAGCAAAAAACAGAATACAGGTAAATAAGCATTAACTCAAAATGATGACAGCGTTTTGCCAACAAACATCATCCACTGCACAAACATAAAGTCACTGACGACGCACATTTAGCTTGAGTGATACTTCAAGAATCAAGATTCGTATTTCCCTAGTAACAAATGTTTCATCCAGTATAATCAGAATGCTGTGAGGAACAAAATTCCACAACAATTAGATCTGATCGAGTATAAATCGATATGCTAGTTACATCATTTTGAAAGAATGCTACACATATCACCAGCTCTTGAATCGCTGCCAAAACTCAGATCTGATCGAGAACACACCACATGACAGATCTCCATCTAGCCTTTCCATCCAAATCCGCTATAACTAAGCATGGATATACCAAATAGCTGAAAAAATGTTCCTTTCAACACCAACTTCAGCTAATCAACCCAAGCATACACATAAGCCATGGCGCTGTAACCACCAATACCACTGGCCAATCTGTGCGGCTCTTGGCAAATGCCCATCTCACTTATTTTCCTGTGATGCTATGAACAGATACACATGTGAGAAATAAACCAATCTTCTTCATCACCTAATTGCATCTAAATTGCCAGCTCTCATCATCTCAAGCTCCTCAACCGAGCCACCCTCCTCGTCCAAGAAGCCCAAGTTTGATGACCGACAAGTGAAGTAGAACACCGCATTCATCATTGAATCAATCAGCATCACGAAGGAGTACATGAGGACCAACAATGGCCCCTCCCAGAGCCGCGACGAGCCGTCGCCATAGCTCAGCGTCTTCACCCTGTGCTCAAACAGCCCTTCCACGAAAGCTAGGCCAATGGTGGACCCAAGAAAGATGAGCAGCCCGACGTGGGTCTGCCTGCGCATCAGCTGCACCGACCAGCGCAGCGCATTGACCCTGGCCACTTCCTCGAGAACGGCGATGACGCCACCGAGGTTGCAGATGATGATGGTGTGCGCGTACACCACGGAGTAGGCGAGAACAGTGAAGAGGCCCGCGCACACGACAATGTCGGGCGGGTAGAGCATGGCCCTGAGCGTGGAGCAGGCCGTGACGAGGAGGGAGAGGAAGGCGACGAGGCCGGCGGCGACGGCGGCGCACCCAAGCGCGTACGTGGCGGCGAGGCGCGGCCACGCGCGGCGCGCGAGGAGGGTGATGTCCCCCCGGCCGCGAGGGGCTTCCATACATACAGCCGCGACTGTGTATGCCACGGCGGCGCGGGCGGCGAGGAGAAGCGTGAGGAGCGCCGGTAACGAGACGACGGCGGAGACGAGCGTGGCGGCGAGGTGGTGCGCCAGCTGCCTGACGAAATGCGTGAGCGGGAGCCCCGACGTGGCCGCGGCGACGAGAAGCCGCCGCGCGAGCGGCACCACGACGGTCCCGTCCAGCGCGGCCGAGGACAGGAGGAGGCACCCGGACGCCGGGCAGAGCAGCAGGAAGAGGATGGACGTGAACGCGTGCGGGTCCCCGCGCAGCACGCGCACCGTCTCCCGCAGGATCTCCATCGCGTTCATCGGCGGCAGACGCACCCCGCCTCCTGCGCCCCGCGTCGGCGCCATTCCTCCCGGCTCCTTCCCGCCGCCTCTTCTGTGCTCTCCTTAGATTCGCGGCTACTTCTCAGCGCACCCAAGACCCCGCCGCCGACTCGCCGGTCAGGGTCAGATCCGGGACGATATCCCGGCGGCACAACGCGCGCGCCCAATGCGGTGTTCTGCGACGGAAATTAGGGCCCAGCAGGTGGGATCTTGGGGGATGATAACGGCGTGGGAGGAGGTGGAGGAGAAGTTTCTTTGGAGCAGAGATCGAGGGGGGCTTTTGTGAAGGAAGACGACGATGAGACTATGGGAGTGTTGTGGTGGGGCCGGGGGGGTAGGTTGACACTTGAGACACCGACAGTTCACTGGGGAGGATGACAGGTGGGTCCATGGAGGGTTGGCCGTTTGCTTCCGTGGGAGAGTGGCAGGTGGGTCCCGGGAAACGAAGTACAGTGAAGCTTCCGCGCACGGATTCCAGTGGGTTTATCTTTGTCAACGGTGGTAGTACTACAAACGATGAGTGTGAAGATTCCTAAAGAGCGTGATTAAATTTTGTACGTCCAATTTGTTTGACGAAAAGGGTTAGGAGATTAGTCTGTGTACCGTTCATTCGTTTGACAAATCTACGACACGTTCGTTTGGGCTTATTTGGCTTATAAGCTGTATTTTTTCAGTCAACGAACAAAATTTTTCTTTCACGCTAAATTAGTTAATAATACTTTCAGCCATGACTTATCAGCCAAACAAGCCCAAACGAACAGGGCTAATCATCAGCGTTATGATCTGTTTGACACACGTGGATTTCGCATTGAACATGTCATTCCAAAGAGCCTACAAACCACAGTAGTATATAAGATTTTTTTTTTTGGTAAATTCATTTCATGTCCGTGGAAGTTTTCCTTTTCCGAGTGTATCTCAAGTTTTGGTGTACACTTCATTTTATTGACAAATCCGGATTACGGTTGAGATAGACTGGGATGGCACCACAAACTGTATGCAATATGAGAGTTCTTAGTTTAACAGAGGTGATGACTCATTTCGTCTTAAAAAAGAGAGGTGATGAGTCATTTTCAGACGCCATTTGAAAATAAAACAAAAGGAAATAATCAACTATACGTGAAATGAAATACAGTACATTTCCCTCAACGATAGCATGCAGTTGCAACCGCAGGGAGATAAAACAGGCCCAACAGCCCTTAAAAAACTTGAACTGACTCAGCCCTACTAGCCTGATTGACTAGACAGTAGCAAATGAAGGCAACAGGACAAAAAGAAAATGACAATTGAAGCCACGAAGCAAAAATATCCTTCTTCAGTGTGCCCATCATTAGCGAAAGGCACCCAAATGGAAACGCCAGAGGAGCCGGCTTCATGACGAAGCAAAGCCTATGCTTTAGGACTTGTAAATGAAATGGACCACCAGGATACTTATTTCCCTTGCTCAAGTCTAAATACACTCATTGGCATGGCATGCACAACATTTTAAAACTCGCCTACGATGCTTTCCTTGCACTTGCCTCTTGGCTACACACACTCTTGAAAGGCATACCAGGAGTGTAGAATACCCAACTATCCAACTGGAGTGTGTCCTCATACATCACGTGCAAACGAAGAAAATGTAAATTCATACTACATTCGAGTCCCAAAACATGAAAGAGATGAATTAGGATAAGCTACAAGGAAATGTGCTCGAAGGAACACACAGCCATCAGATCAATCTGTAAGAGCTCCAGAATACGATACTACAAGGTACTGCATCAGTATGATGGCGAAATTCCCATTGCATATCTATGAATCCATCAGAATTGTCCAAAAGGAAACAAAAACAAAAGGAGAGAAAGGGGCAAACATATGTACCTATGTTGCTGGCATTCTACTTAACAACATTATTTCTATGTTGCCAAGTTAACCTATTCAAGAATACTACAGCACCGTTTCAGAGGATATGTTGCCTATACGTATCGCTTGGGAGTCTTGACAATTTTGAT